GGTGTGCCCTCAACCTGGGGCTGCGCGAGCCGTGATGCCGAGGGCATGCGGTAAAGCTGGGGGGGTTTTCTCCGCCTCGGAGCAGCGCTGGGCTGTGCGTCTTCTCCAGCAGACCGTCCAAACCCCGCGTGTGCCGTGCCGCACGCCTCCCGAGTCCTTAGCGAATAACTCGCCAGAGGCGTTATTCGGGTAATCTAGGGATAATTTAGGAGCTGCGGTTCCCCGAGTTGGAGTTTTAAATCTGTGTGTGGGCATCCGTGTACAGGTGGCCTGGTTTCCGAGGTTCACCTGTGCTCCCAGTGACTCCCAGTAGCTAAGGGGGCACCTGGATGTGATGTGTGGCTTTAGAAGCCGAACTTTGGGCTTGGAGTATGTATTTCACGTATGCACGCTGTCAGATTTATGTGCTCAGGCTCAGCCTGCTACCGTTCATTCTTTCCTGAGATGTGCAGTATGCAAATGTAACTTATCGCCACTGTTTCTCCTCAAATTTAATTCTGAAATACCTTTTCCTTTTTTTTTTTTTCCCCCTCCATCCTAGGTGGACTTTTCATGAGGAACACTGTTCAGGAGCACAGTGCATTTCGATTTGCTGTGCAGTTATACAACACAAACCAAAATACCACAGAAAAGCCCTTCCATTTGAACTATCATGTAGATCACTTGGACTCTTCAAACAGTTTTTCAGTAACAAATGCTTGTAAGTAAATATATCTGCTTTTTATAAAATTAATATTTATTTTCTATCTATCCTTAGGTTCAATTTCTCCCTGGTAGCCTGGAGTTCTTGTTCCTACAATGTAGTGCAACAAATGTGTGTACTGGCGTGAGGTTTAGTGGATTTGCAGCGTTGTATGATTGAGTAATACCTTAGGGAAGTTCTCCCACCGCTTCTTTTCACCCCTTTAGTGTGTTTTCCAGAAAAACAACCATGTTGTTTATATATCAGTGCTGTGTAGCTGTGATGAGTGAATTGCTGTTGAAGTAACATCCCTTTTTCGGTTGAGGCTACAACCTAGCCGTGTGAAACGGCATAATGTGCAAATAATACCATGTAGGAATAAAACAGAAACAGCTGTTTACAAGTGACCTTGAGGGGACAAAGCTAGAGGGGCTTAGATATCTCCTCTGCCCTGAAACACTGGGTTGTTTTCTTACAGTGAAAGTCTTGTTAAAAGCTGAGGAGACTGTAAACTGACAAATACCGTTAGAGCTGAGGGGAGAGGAAATGGAATCAGAACGCTTAGTGTTGTGAGAAATAGCTCTGCACACAGTGCACACGTATAATTTGAGCCATTATGAACAGAAGAAGCAAAATAGAAGTTTGAGTAGTGTTAATGTGGTGTTAAAATGTGAAATCTCTTTCTGAAAGACTGGCGCGTGTTCTGCATTTAAAAAAGCATTCCTTTACCAACAGTAGTTCTTGAACATTTGTTCTACCGACATGTCCAAATTATGTTTTATACAGTTTTTATTTTAAACCTTTGAAAATGAATGGAGTCTCCTTTCGAGGTAGCTGCATTCATTTTGCAGCATACAGAAATATGTTTGTACATGATCTGAAGGACCTCTGAATGCAATATACTAACTTTGTGTTATGAACAGGATTCCTGTTCATATGGTCCCAGTATAAAATCTTCAGAGAGGAAGCATTATGCTAAAATAATGAGGTATCGGAGTACAGTAAACCAGTGTCTTGTGTTTTAAAACATTTTTCATGTTTTGAATATCTTATTTCTTTTACTTTTGGCTTATTTGGAATAGGATAGTTCTTACAATCCTGTCCAACGCTGTACAGTCTGAAAGCTGCCCAAGTAGATATTTTATCCTTCTAGGATTGCAGGTATTTTCTGAGAAAGTTGATGGTTAGAAAATATGCAGTAAGGAAATTTTGGATTCATATTCTAACATATCCCCCATGTGACTGCTTTTTGCTAGTGCAGCATTACACTTTTTAAAGAGCTTTGAATTAGGACCTTTAAAACTTTTGCAGGGGGGTTAATTATATAACATCCCATAAAAATATTGGGTGAAGTGGAAAAAAAATAGTAAATAAGAGCATTTCTGTACTTTGCATCTTATTTTACTAATCCTATCCAGCTTCAACAGCTCTTACAACAAACATCAGACTATTAATCCTTAATCAGTGTAATCCCTTCAAGAAGCTGTATCTCAAACATAGTTTCCTAAATATCAATTATATGGATTTAAACTAAATACATTAAACTGCTTGGGTGATTAATTATTAATTGTTTTTTAAAAGTTCTGCTGGCAGTTCTTCACAAATCCCACCAAGACAAGTGAACCACACGCTCGTGCAGAGGCAGTCAATGTATTATTTAGTCAGTGTGCTTCTCGTGTTCTGACATTTAATGATTTTTGTCATTGCTTAGTTGAAGCTCTGGCGATTTAAGTAAAATGAGATGGTTTTCTGTAGTATAGGGCTGCATATTCCAGCACACGTTAACAGTGTAGTGAAATTGGGAAAACTTTAATCTCTGGAGAAGCCGTGGACCAGAGAATACCAACCTACAGTAACCTGCTTAAAAATAGAAGATGTGAAAAAAGAAACACAAGAAAGAAAATTAAAAGGTGACCTTGTCCATAGCTGTGTCAACCGTCTGGTAGTACTGTTGCTAGGAAAAGGATGCGGTGAGCCCAAGTCACCAGTCATACAGGTCTCAGTAGCTCAAAAAAAATATAAAAAATAGAAGAGCAGTTGCTCCTTTTGGATCTAGAAGCAATTATGTTTGAAAGTCAGAATGGTCATGCATATCAATGCATTAGGATGAACTAATAGCTCTTCACACTATCTGGCTAACGTGTAAAACGTTCTGGCCTAAGTACCCCTAATCGCATCCTCGCTTCCCGGTGGAGTGGCAGATAATTTCAGGGTGCTGCCATATCCATGAAGGAATTCTTTCCACAACATTTTTACTTCTCTTGGAGCTAAGCATAAATTGTCTCCAGTGCTGTCACACAGCCGTTTGATCAATATTTGCAATTGGCAGGGATCCCATAGGAGAGAAACCTGCAGTGACTCTGCCTGTGTTCGCTGGGGAGGGAGACTGGCTGATGTGGTGGGATAGGGGAAGGAACTGAAGGGAAATCTGAGGAAGTGGCATGTGTAGCTTGAGCCTAGTACCTGTACCAGTATCCATAAAATAATACTTTTTCACTCTCCTTTGCTTCGATTTATGTCATAGTGGCTGTAGTAAGTGTTCATATGTGCAGGAATTGAGGGGGGCTCTGCTCAGGAAAGACTTATGTTTTAGAGTACAGCTGCATACCCCGCTTGGTGCAATCTGGTGCATTCCAGAGGCAGGAGAAAAAAAACCCTCTTCTGAAGTATCCTCATGAGCCAGAGATAAAAAGCCTACCTCTGGTAGGGCTGATTTGGCAATATCCCAACATGGGAACAAACTTGTTCAGAAGCAAAAGAAAATTTCTGCCCTAAGCCCCTCCCTCTCATTCCTTTTTCAGTTAAATGATGCATAATCTAATTCATGTACATGCATTCCCTGCTTCACTGCTAGCACCGAGCCCCTCTCCATATATTTAATTTACACGCGTGCACACAGTATTCATCCATTCTCTATTTATCTGCCCACCTGTTTATTTAGCTGTATGGTATCTTAACAGAGAGCAAATGCAAACGTAAATGAGAATTCCAGTGTGTTTAAAGGTGAATTGAAGTTTATCAGTTGGCTCGGGGGGGGGGATTTATTACATCTTTTAAAATATGCATCTTTTTGCGGTCAGAAAAATCAGAAAGGAAGAAAGTTAATTTGACCTGTGAATGAATAAAATCAAGTAAAACATGGATGTTATATTTTCTTCAAAATAGCTCATGTAGGGGGTGTGCTGGCTTTTTCAGAATAATATGAATATAACAACTCAAACGTGCAAATTCATCATTGAAGAGTCATGCTTTTCTTACAACCTCTGATGAAGGATGTTGGTATTAATGCTGAATTATGCGTACAGTTCTGTAGCTCATATTCCCTAGAAATAACCCGCGTATGTCTTTCTGCTTTGCACTTGTAGTGCACTATACTAACACTGCTCTAGCCTCTGCAGTGTCAGCTCATTAGCACACAGATCTCATATTCCCTCTCTGCACTGTCATTGCAAAAAATTGCTGTTGTACACCTTTACAGCCAACAAATGTGCACTTGCTTTATGTACCATTTTCAAGAAATATTTAGAAAAGTAAACTCAACCTTATACGTGGTCCCCATGGAATTTCTCAAAGCATTAGTTTTCATTAAAATCTGTTGATCATGTAATGATAGTGGTGGGATGTGCATGGGTGAAAAGGGGCTGCGATTGCAGAATCTAATTAATCTACAGGCAGATTCCTTCTCTCAGCTAAACCTAATCTATCAACTGCAAATTCTTGTCCTGTTAATTTTTTCTGAGTCATTTCTTGGGTATCTTTTGAACCCAGAAGGATTTTATATTTTTACCAATTGTTGAGATGTTTTTTCCACAGGCACTCGTTCTTTAAGAGACAAAAAAAAAAAGAGGGAAGATACAATGACTTGCTTACCTTAAGTTGCTAAAACCCTGTAAGTGACTGTATGGACACTTTCTGGAGGGGGGGCTGATTTCAGATTTTCTTAGAAAAATTTTCTTTAGCTTCCTTCCGGTTCTTGTGTTTAATCCTTAAAATTCAACTTGGAAGATTTGAATGGAAAAAGTGCCTGTTTGTTGTTGTGAGAATGTTGCAGAAAACGATACCACGGGGTTAGGAGCAGACATATTTCTGGTTTAACTGTGTTGCTCCCCCTCCCAAAGCACAGGTGTGCGTATATATATGCTCACATGCGTACTCGCTCGTGCACATACACGCTTTTTCCGTAGGTGCTGCTCAGCATTTCTTTTTGCCAGTGGGCAGATAATTTGCTTCCCTTGCATCTGTGTACTCTTTGGCCAGCTGGCAAAGGACACTGATGCTGAAAGTGGTCAGCTCCCTCCTGCCAAAAGCATAAGCATGTCTTGCTGAAAGTCGTGCCAAGTTTGGGCCGTGTGCTGGTGGTTTTGTGTGAGTAGGGACCGCAGGGTAGATGCCTCTCTCTCCCAATAAGGAGCACACTATGGTTTCTCCCAGCATTCTGTGGTAAAACACCTGGAAATGTGATTTCTGCCCATTTCTGTTCACTACAGCTCCCTGAAAATGCCTTCTATGCTGCGGAATGTACTTGAGTAATGTACGTTGCTGCTGCGTGACAAAATCACCTGGCTTTAGTTGAGGGGTCAAAGCCTTTGCAGCATTGGAGTAGGTTGAAAGGTGAAGAGTTTTCTAAATAAAGTTTGTTGCCACTTTGTGGCAGAGCAGATAACTTGTCATTGAGTTGAATGTGATCTTGGTGTTAGCAGAAGAAACCATACTGCTTTCCAGTATGTTTTATTATTTCTTAAATTAGTTTTAAAATAAGCTGACTCCCGCTCCTCCTCTGTTACGTACTTAGCATTTACATTCTCCTAGGGTTACGGTTCCATTTAACTCACACTGTAGAGACAGGAAAAAAATCCCATATGAATGGGCAGCCTTGGAGAAACACTAAATTCACCAAATGGAGAGCACCATGGAGAAGAAGCACAATGGAGAGTGCCATTTACTGCTTCAGTTTTGAAAAGATTCTGTGCAGATGCAGAGATGAAATTGTTCACTTTTCCTAGATAGCTCTGGGCCTG